CACACCGAGGGGGTAGCTATCATGATGTCACCAACGGCAGCGAAGGCCCTCATGCAATGGGAGGCGATCTCGTCCAGGATTATAACCACCAGATTCAGCTCAAAAGGAAGGAAAGTGTCAATTATGCAATGCTATGCACCCACAAACAACGCAGACCTCGAAAAGAAAGAAGTATTCTACAGACAACTACAGGCAACAATGGACAATGCTCCAGTCGAAAACGTTAAAATACTAATGGGAGACATGAACGCCAAACTGGGATCAGACGACACAGGAAGGGAACTCATCATGGGTAGAGAAGCTCTCGGAGAAATGAATGAAAATGGAGAATTCTTCGCCAACTTCTGCGCCTTCAATGAACTAGTGATTGGTGGCAGCATATACAAACACAAGGATATCCACAAGGCTACATGGGTATCACCAGATGGGTGAACCAAAAACCAAATTGACTTCATCTCAATCTCAAGGAAGTGGAGGCGCAGCCTACTGGACACAAAAGTAAGAAGAGGAGCAGACGTTGGCTCAGACCACTACCTCGTACAAGGGACAATCCAAATCAAATTAAAAGCTTTCAGAGTAAGAGGAGCTGCAGAGAGACCACAAGCCAAGTTCAACACTCAAAAACTGAAGGACCAGGACACAAAAGACATCTTCACTGCAAGCATAAAGGACAAAGCCGAGACACAAATCAACACTAGCGAAGAGGTCAGCGTCGAAAAGCACTGGAACAACTTGAAAACAGTGTGGAGTCAAACCTGCATGGAAGTTCTAGGCAGAAAGAAGAGACAGGACAAACAGTGGCTCACTACGGACACTTAGAGACTGATAGAAGAGAGACGGATAGTGAAACAAAAGATTCTCCAGTGCACCGACGAGCAACAAAAACAGGATTTGAATTCAAGCTACAAGACACTGAACAAAAGAGTAAAGAAGAGTGCCAGAGAAGACAAAAGAAAGCATTATGAAACCATGGCAAGTGAAGCAGAACAAGCTGCAGTGCAGGCAAAGGAGACCTCGCAACAATCCACCAAACAACTAGGTACCTATCGGGCAAAAGTTTGACACAGATTCAACCAGTGAAGGATGACAATTGAAAGTCACTCACCAAAGAAGTGGACCAAAGGAAACACTGGGCTGAACACTTCAAAAGACTCCTAAATCGACCATCACCGACATCGCGTCCAACAATACCAACGACGGAGACAGAGCTACCAGTGAACACCAATCCCCCGACGAAATCAGAAGCCCTGAAAGCAATCAAGATGCTAAAAGCTGGAAAAGCAGCAGGACCAGATGGAATCCCAGCAGAAGCATTGAAAATGGACCCAGAGATAACAGCGGACTTGATGACGCCACTACTGGAGGTGTGGAAAGAAGGCAAGGTACCTGAGGATTGGAAGAAAGTATACTGATTCAAACTACCAAAGAAAGAAGACTTAAGTCAATGCAAGAACTGGCGCGGAATTATGCTTCTGTCTATCCCAAGCAAAATACTAAGCCGCATCATCCTGGAGAGAATCAAACATGGCCTAGATGAAAAACTTCGACCGGAACAGGCTGGATTCAGGAGAAACAAGTCATGCATTGATCAGATCGCCACATTACGGATCATCATTGATCAAAGCTTGCAATGGCAGTCACCTCTCTATCTCAACTTCATCGACTTTGAAAAGGGCTTTGACAGCGTCGATCGAGAGGTGCTTTGGCGACTAATTCGCTACAACGGGGTGCCACCGACAATTATACATCTCATCCAACAGCTGTACGACAATGCTGCATGCCTAGTAATCCACAACGGGAAAATTACGGAATCCTTCGAAGTGAGAACAGGAGTAGGACAAGGCTGCCTACTATCGCCAATGATTTTCCTGATTTCAGTAGACCGGATAATGCGACAAACAGTGGACAATGAGGAAACAGGCATCAAATGGACTAATTAGTTCAGCGAAGAGTCTCTTTTCGGCGAATTCATTCACTTAGCTGTACAGTCGCAAATATATATACAATTATTTTGTGTGTGTGCACATTAGGTCTGTCAAAATCAAAATAACAGTTGGTGTGGGTTGTTGATTATATCATCAAAATAATGAAGAAGTTAAAATGTGTGATTAATAATCAAAGTTGTAACTAAGTGGGGTGAAGATAAGATTGGTAAGATGTGAGTAGGGTTACGTAATATAGACATGTTTAGAAAGATTAGATGCTAGTGAAGGAGTTTGGAGACAATTATGAAAATAAACTAGATAATAGGTGAAAAGATTGAATGGGTTAGTTACTAAAAATTGTTATACGGAAAAATTGCAAAAAATTTGATAACGAAATGTTGATGACAAATAAACATGAAATTAAACCCACGATAGTAGGAGAGGGTGGAGAAGTTTCTTCTGCGTGCATTACTCAGGCTTTTCCATCCAAATCGCTAAGCCTTCAGCAATACAAAGTATACGGAAGCTTGTCGATTTTGGAAGGCTTCTTTTGACTTTATAGATGACTTTGAACGACTTCTCCTTGCAAATCGAATGACCAGTGTTGAGTAGTCGTTCAAAGTCATCTATAAAGTCAAAAGAAGCCTTCCAAAATCGACAAGCTTCCGTATACTTTGTATTGCTGAAGCCTTAGCGAATTGAATAGAAAAGCCTGAGTTATACACACAGAAGAAACTTCTCCACCCTCTCCTAATACCGTGGGTTTAATTTCAAGTTTATTTGTCATCAACATTTCGATATCAAATTTTTTGCAATTTTTCCGTATAACAATTTTTAGTAACTAACCCATTCAATCTTTTCACCTATTATCTAGTTTATTTTCATAATTGTCTCCAAACTCCTTCACTAGCATCTAATCTTTCTAAACATGTCTATATTACGTAACCCTACTCACATCTTACCAATCTTCACCCCACTTAGTTACAAATTTGATTATTAATCACACATTTTAACTTCTTCATTATTTTGATGATGTAACTCTACTCACATCTTACCAATCTTCACCCAACTTAGTTACAACTTTGATTACTAATCACACATTTTAACTTCTTCATTATTTTGATGATATAATCAACAACCCACACCAACTGTTATTTTGATTTTGACAGACCTAATGTACACACACACACAAAATAATTGTATATATATTTGCGACTGTAAAGCTAAGTGAATGAATTCGCCGAAAAGAGACTCTTCGCTGAACTAATTTGTTCTTATTTCAATGTCTTAATGGGTATATTTCGCGAATAAAATGGACTCACACAAAAAACTTGGAGGATCTTGACTTCGCCGAAGAAGAAGCAACAAAGATAGGACTTCAGGTGAACATAGGGAAAACAGAGGTAATGAAGATTCCCGGACAAGACCAACAACAACAGACAACAATCAGCACAAATGGGAAAAACCTGAAAGAAACAACCTCCTTTACCTACCTGGGAAGCATCGTCTCAACTACAGGCGGAACTGACGAGGATATCAAAGCAAGAATCGGAAAAGCAAGACAACCTTTCACTACTCTCAAGTCTGTGTGGAGGTCAGCGGCACTCAGCATCAAAAATAAGATCCGGATTTTCAACTCCAATGTGAAGACAGTGCTACTATACGGATCAGAGACTTGGCCAGTGCGTCATAAAGAGCATCTCAAACAAACTACAGACCTTCATTAATAGTTGTCTTCGCTCAATACTCAAGATCAGATGGCCAGAAAAGATCAGCAACAGGGATCTCTGGGAACCGATTGTGAAACAAATAGGCAGGAAGAAATGGAGGTGGATTGGATTGGTCATACTCTGAGGAAACCATCAAGTGACATCACTAGACAAGCCACTGCTCGAGTGGAAGCCGAAAGGGAAGCGGCGAGTTGGTCGTCAGTGCAAGGGTGACTTGGAGGAGGTCATGTGAAGAGGAGATGAAAACGTGTGGGCAAACTTGGAGCCAGGTGAAGACTAGCAGAGAACCGAACGCAATGGAGACGCATGGCTGAAGCCCTATGTTCCTCTAGGAATTAAAGGAAATAATAATAATAATACTAACGCAAGATCTTATACCAACAACTTCCAAAGTATTCGTTCCGCGTAGACCAAGGGCAAAGCAAAAAACCAGAATTGGTCGTCCAAATTACGAGACACATTTCTGGACCAAATCGGAGTGGGAGATGATTTCTTAGCTGGCTAGTGATCGTGCACGAACGTGACACGACGAAGTACCAAATGGCATGGATGCTTGACCGGAAGCCTTCAGCTAAACAAGTCGACTTAAACAGTGAGGGTCAGCATCCAATGTTCAGCGATGAATGCTGTGGCCAATAATTCCAGGGAATTATTTACCGCTACAGGGACATCAATATTAAATACATAGCTAATGAGCTTGGAAGTAACACTAAATTCTTGTAAAATAGATTTTTTAGAACAATATGCCGGCGATTACTGGTGAAAAACTGATAATATTTTTCAAAGCTGAGCATTGAAATACATATCCTCTTTGTGACTTCATTGTATAACATTAATTTATGTTCAACTTTCCGGATAAAATGCCAATATGTACATGTCATAAGATAATGAGCGATGATGATGAAATAATGAATATGCCAGTCAAGCATTTCAAGGCTTACTATGATAAGGAGTGTTTGTTTACTTTGTTGAGTTTTAATTAAATCAGGGAATATGTTAGTGACTACATACTACAAGGTTTACTGTTGAATATATGAACTGCATGCCCTGAAAGAAATTCATAGGAGAAAGTTATGTAGTCTAACTCAAACCATTTTAAAACGCAACTTCAATCTACTTCCTATTATCTGACGAGTTACGAGTTTCAGCGTCAAAAGTTATGTGACTCTTATGCAGACCACCCGATTATCCACTGTCATATACTTTTCTTATGTACTTGAAGGCCTAATGAACGCATTCCAGTAATATTAAACCAGCATTCAAACAAAGGTTTGATTTAACTTCAGGAAAATTCAAACTAAGTTGTAGCATCCAGCTTGATTCATCAGAGTATTCAACAAATATACGCACTGTGCATGATAATATCCCGTGAAATGCATCACTACAGTAGTCGCAAGTTAAAAAAGTTGATTACCAATAACAAGTTATATTAATCAAAGTATATTCCAAAGAATCTGAAGAAAGATTAGTTATTCTTAAAAAATGTTATGATTGTATCCACTCATGTATTCATGTATAAATAAACAACGGTGATAAATAAGTAAATGATATAATTATGCAGTATTTCTTATAAGCGTGAAAGCAGTATGGTTGTAATTTAACCTTTTAAAAGTTGGTATATTGCTTGGAGCGTAATTAGCTTCTTTGAATTCGTAAACTTTGACATGTTCTGCTGCAAGGTGAACAACAGTTTAGCCGTTGATGTATCTTGTGGTCATCAATCCACAGGGTGAGGAAAAAAGCTGTGAGTCAAAGAAATAAATTATTGAAATAATTCAAGGAGAAAACAGCTGAAAAAGATGAATTAGAGTGAACTAGGTCTATTAAATAATTACTTTTAAAGTGTTTTTACCCCTTGTTTTTACAATGGGATCTTTCTTGTTAAATATGACCCACTTGGCGCCACTTACAAGAATATCAAAACATAGTAATAAAATTATTCTCACTGTCATAATAAAAGACAAGTGACCACCAACAAGGATAGGAAGAAAGGCTAATAACAAGACAGTTATCATCTGACCTATTCTGTACAGCATTACTATTGATTTTACAAGACCCATAGATTTGAAGTAATGCATATTTCTTGCTGACATCCGAAACAAAAGTTAAAATAGATGGCATTGAGTGCTAAATATCCTGGATAAGTCTCTTTCCTTATCTCTCCTCGTTGTCTCAAATGCTGTTGATTCTCAGAAAAATATACCTTTTGACCTAAGAAAATAAGTTAAGAAAACCTGGTATCAATCTAGCCATATTTTTTCCAGATTGTTAACTTTTGCATTTTGTCTACTTTTCTTTGTTTGCTCTTTAATCCCTCCTGTGCTACTTAAAAATATTTTGTTACACTACAAATAACAATGGAAGCCGTCCAAAGGAGGAGGGGTATGCTATTAGGCCAACTTGGTAATATTGTTGGAAACAAACTCTTGAACTCATGAAAAACACTGACAAAAATCATCATGCTGAACTTTGGGATCTCTTTTTATTCACAAATTTCTTCTCGCTTATAAGCAGCACCAAGTACAAGAGACTTTATGATCGTACAACTAAGTATAAGAAATCAAAGATACTTTAATCAGCATTCATCTTATGTCGTGAGGAAAGTGTTGGGCATGAAAAAAAAAACTTACTGAGACACTGTAAATAAACGGCTCTTTCGATTCTCTCTATACAGTTAATACATTGTTATCACTATTCTTATCAATTTGTAATTCATTTTTTGCATTCACATACATTATAACCACTATTGTAAATATCATAAAGTACTATGTAGAGTGAAAAGAATAATACATTCAATACTGTACGAAAAGCTGAGAATTCCACAGTGTACGAAGCCCGTATTATTGTTATTACAGGGATTCGGTTTACTGCCATCTGACAGATATAATTTACCAATCTTACACAGAAAATTATTTATAATTGAATGACCTCAGGAAAAATCAAGTACAGCAATAACTGTTAGAACGTCAACATATTGAAATTATGTGAAGAAGAATAAAGTAGGCTATTCAAAAGAGAAAAAACAGAGTTAAGGAAATTACGGCTTCTTAGGAAACACCAGGGTGGATAAGCAATAGAGTGAAGGACCTCACTTTAAACGCACTGCACTGATTTATTTCAGAAAGATAAAAGTGACATTTTGTGGCTCACAGCTCAACCGGTCATGCAGAAACGTTATTTAGTAAAATATCCTAGGAAAAGAATCAAAATCAGCAGTGTAATCAAAGTGAGCATGAACGGTAAACATCATTCGTACTGAAATATATATTATTATATTATTATTGTATCCTTTAATTCCTAGAGGAACATAGGGCTTCAGCCGTGCGTCTCCATTGCGTTCGGTTCTCTGCTAGAGTCTTCACCTGGCTCCAAGTTTGCCCACACGTTTTCATCTCCTCTTCACATGACCTCCTCCAAGTCACCCTTGCACTGACGACCAACTCGCCGCTTCCCTTTCGGCTTCCACTCGAGCAGTGGCTTGTCTAGTGATGTCACTTGATGGTTTCCTCAGAGTATGACCAATCCAATCCACCTCCATTTCTTCCTGCCTATTTGTTTCACAATCGGTTCCCAGAGATCCCTGTTGCTGATCTTTTCTGGTCATCTGATCTTGAGTATTGAGCGAAGACAACTGTTGATGAAGGTCTGTAGTATGTTTGAGATGCTCTTTATGACGCGCTGGCCAAGTCTCTGATCCGTAAAGTAGCACTGACTTCACATTGGAGTTGAAAATCCGGATCTTATTTTTGATGCTGAGTGTTGTTGACCTCCACACAGACTTGAGAGTAGTGAAAGGTTGTCTTACTTTTCCGATTCTTGCTTTGATATCCCCGTCAGTTCCGCCTGTAGTTGAGACGATGCTTCCCAGGTAGGTAAAAGAGGTTGTTTCTTTCAGGTTCCTCCCATTTGTGCTGATCGTTGTCTGTTGTTGTTGGTCTTGTCCAGGAATCTTCATCACCTCTGTTTTCTCTATGTTCACCTGAAGTCCTATCTTTGATGCTTCTGAAATATAGGCTGGGAACAATATTATGATGGTAGATGGTGGCAGCGTTCGAAGTACTTTGAATACAATGGTAATAATAATATTTGCAATATTCCGTTTACATGTGAGTCGTTGAAGTAATGCTGCTGTTTTCTTCCCAAGTAATCTGAAGATTAGGAAATTTAGGAAACTGCCAAGATAAATTCGAAAAATTGTATCTGCTTTCGCTAAATAGAAAACATCATTAATGGTTGAGGCTTGATTATGTTCTAGCGAGAAATCCGTGTTCAGTTAGTTTCTCAATTAATTGTGAAAAGTATGTATATATATAAATTCACTTAGGATAAATGTCTTACCTATTAAGCTTGAACACCCGCATACCGTAAACTGAAGCAAATATGGATCTTTTGTTATGATGTAAGTAAGGACGAATGCGCACAGAGGACATCCAATTGTCTTGGTAAAATACAGACGGTAGAAATAAACGTGAGGAATCTTGTAAATAATAGAGATATCATTTGCTGCCTAAAGTATATTTTTATGCCTATACAAAGAATCGATAAGTGTTATTAGTAATTATGCAAACCAGAAGAATACTCATTTTAAGTATTTTTATCTCTTTTGCTGTAATATATGATTGATATTGTCTGTTTTACATGAATCGTTGAAAACAATAGACCTTTAAGTTTGAATGTACAGGTTGGCTTCTCCTCATTTGAAATGCGTCATATCACAGTTTATCAACTGAATACACTCAATATTAGAAATGCTATACAGTTAAGAAAAAGCGAGTAGTCGCGAGAATGTAGACTGCTTCACAATGTGCCATGAACAAAATTATATATATATATATATAATCTCTCTCTTATATAATTCCACAAAAAGATATACAAATAGGTTTGGGTAGTGTTGGCCTTCATCATTAGGATGCATAGATGTGTTCAATATATTTCAAGTTATTTTACCAGTGTCAGAAGGCCATAGCAAAAAGGGGATTTTTCATCTTGAATTGAGCTTTCATCAGACTACCTAATTATAAGCGTGTCATGTTTTCAGTCTGTTCAACTCCTGTCATGTTAGATAAATTTATTCGACATAACACTTAATGACACAGTATTAGTCACTAATATTGTATCATTGTGTATTATGTCAAAGACTTACCTAATATGGAATCATATTCTAATATGGTGCCTGAATTCTACTCCTACATTAGTTATACTTACCGCCTTTCTGTTCGGAAACTGACCATGAAACATGCACAACTGTCATAAACAAAAGCACAAGTTACGAATGATTCTAATTTTTGCAATCGATGCATCACAAATAAAATCATTACTAAATATCTTTGTGTACTCATTCCGGTTGTGATAAACAAGGTGAAAGCAGCAGCATAACAGTTTAGTAGAGTTTGTCTAAGAGAAAAATCTCCATGGAACTATAATCAAATTAACTGACGTAAAACATGAGACTGAACAATTTAAATTCTAATCTAGAAATATTGTAAATAACAGGGATTGTAAAATCAAACTGGAAATATCCAACTAGGCAAGATCAGCTATTTTCAATGAAGAAAAACAAAAACTGACAATTAAATGCAATTAAATATCGATTGGACGAATTGGGATCATTAGGCTCCAGTGAAAAAAAAAATTGAAACTCCCTCATTGAAGAGGAAAGGTAGATTCACAACCCAACTGCTAAAAATGAAGAGAATTAACTATGCAGTATATTTATGGCTGTATGAACACCCCAAAAACACATTTCTGCATGATACAACTTTCGATGTGTCAGTACTTACTCAGAAATTGGTTTTCGTGTAGCCTAATTTCAAAGAAATGCTAAGCAATAATTTATGCTGCTTCACTTTTATTACAAAGTACGTTTAGCTTAAAACAACTTTATGAAATACCGAAGAGTTATTGGGAAGTTCAATATGAGCACCTCGAATAACCTGGAATAAACCACAAGACAAAATTGTATATACCATCTGCTAAGAAGTATTTTATGAATTCCAGTCATAAGTACCAATGAGTCAGAAACATTCCAATGAATTAAGAACAAATATGAAAACCCATTTCTTCCACTAGTTTGAAGATTATGGATTATTTACATAACATTTATTTATTTATTTACTTTACATAACAAATAGGTCAGCTGATAAGCTTATATGAATTAATCTCAGTGGTAATATACCACGAGGAGATAAAAATTCCCAGTCGATTTATTACACCTTATTAGAACCAAAAATTTAAAGTTTAGTCAATTAGATCCATGTCCTAGTTTAACAATGTAGTTGATTGACAGGACGGATATGGTCACGTACAAAATTAGATTAAATGAGAACCCCAAACTAAAGTAAATTGCTGTTTTAAGTGCAATATTTGTTATCACTGGTAAGGTATCCTTTAAAAAGACTTTACCATAGGCAACTACCTACAGTTAGCATGAAAAGTAACGCATTTTTTAGAGTTCTTACTGAAATAACTCAGCGGAAACACCTAGTCGTTTATAACTATCACTGTTTTTGAGTTGTGTGAATCTCTTTGAAGCACGTTTTGCAAAGAAAATTCTAGGGCCAATGACAGCACTTTTTGAACGTAAACAAAATATCCTACTAAATTTCTTTGCCAGTCTTAATCAACACAATGCCATACTACAGGTTTCCTAGTATAATAAATGTAGTGCGAAGTAATTGATGTCATTTTTATGTGTAAAATAACCATTCCTAATTCTCAGTGCTTAAATGGCCGAAATACTCACTGAAGTAATGCATACCGTACATTAATCTGACTTCATCAAAACAAATGAATTTAATTTAAGGTATATTTAATAGTCAAAGTCGGTTAGATAACCTTTGAAAGCCATACAGCACTGGACAGTTCTGGCATCATAGTGTAAAACTATTTTAGTAATTTGTGCCCGACAGTGTTCGATCCCATTATCATCTGCTAAAACCCCACTTTTAGGTAAATTAATCCTTCCCGAAATCAATCTCATCATTTGATTTAAGTAAAAGAAATAAATATGAGGGATTACAAGACGTTTAAATATTAGTATAATTCACCTGAACTTCTATGAATTGGAAGACCATTCGTGATATGTGGTCAGCTTATTAACTGCACCTTAATAAATATATCTTTAACATTCTTGAATGAGCTTACAATATCATCACACCACTAAGTGAAGTACCACTATGTTGCTTTGTTGCTTAGTTGTAAATCATAAGAATTAGTTAGAAATAATAACCATGTTGTCCCAGAACTTCGCTCAGTAAAGTTATATACCTTATCATTAATGGCATAACTTACTCGTGCGGATGCTAATATCCCATAATTTACAGCCATATGTTTGCATCCAAACATTGATCCCACAGTTGCAGGTGCAATTGTTGATATACTACTCAGGAAAAGGAAATTTCCAATACCATAAAAGCAAAAAAGTGCTTTTGCCGTAAATTCACTTGCTGTACTGATGAAGGGGAAAGATAAGAGAAGGATTGCCCATGTCAAACTGATTATGAGGAGAGGAATCTAAATTACGAAAAAATAATAAAAAAAAATACATAAATAATGATACTTGAATTAATTACTAAAGACAGCTTTAGATTGTTATCACCTAACAAACATTATGTAAGATATCTAAAGACTAGACTGTACTGTGATAATACTTATCTAAACTATATTCTTGGATTCTGGTCAACACTTCTGAAAATAACCTTCTAAGTTATCATTTCTGGAGTGTAGGCAGTATGAGCTTACAAAATCAAATAATCACTTTGAATTATAATTCGCTATTCTGGAAGTGAAACTAAAATTATCCTACAAATTACCAGTCTAAATTTCACAATTAAATAAGTAGGATTTCGGTGGACAGAAAATTAATATTCTGGGTTTGGCATCCGTAGAGGACATCTGGTAGTTCATATGAGGAGAAAATTAAAGCTTGTGGACAGCTATGAGGTTAGTTAAAAGTGATAGCACAGAAGAGTATACGGTGAAGATCTGCTGCTGAAGCTTTATATCCCAATCAAAATACAATAATTTTAGTGGACAAAGCTCAAACTATTTTGCTAAATGATACCTGTTGGTTATTTTAACATATTATGTAATAGGTTAATGCTAGGTGCATATCTGTACCACTCATACTACATCAAAAGAATGCTTTAAATATTGCTTCATGAGACAGTGTAACTAGTGTGAAATATCCAGCATTTAAGTTTGGCGAAATAAATTCCTTTCATTGAGTTTGTATATTTGAAACATATGTTGCGGTGCATAGCATGAAAATCTAATGGATGCATCCATCTCATATATATATATATATATATATATATATATATATATATTAAGACCGCAGTCGATGTCTCAAAAACTATTACAGGGGGAAAGTCTCGTTGACCTTAAGTATGTATACGATATATTTATTTAATTTAAAATGTTGACAAAATACTGACTCATGAACACTGTTCAAAAACCTAAGTATGCTTGCCATGTGATTGGCACCGGCTCCTAGTTGATCATGTACTGAATTAGTTACATGTGTGTTATATAGACATAAATTCTCCTAACACATGCCATTTTGCTGTTTGTATTTCTCTCACCTCACTTATGACTTGGAATCCAACTGGTATTGATTTTGCAATAATGGAGAAGATTTTTAGCTCAGGTGTATGATATTGAATTAGTTGTGATCTCTCTGCCGGTTCATCTAATTGCAAAGCTATCGTCGTCATTCTGAACAATATCTTCAGCGCAGGTTTTAGTATAACCTCATTTAGCATTTGCGACTTGCATTAACTGTAGCTCAGACGTAAAACCTCGGTATTTGTCAAGAGAGATGTGCGCTATGTAGTAGTTTGCTGCCCCCACCCACAACTTTTGGGCTTTTAAATTTAGTTCTTGAAATGTGGAGACATAAAAAGATAATGAAAAATATGTTTAGAAGGGTGTTTTTGAGCTCTTGATATGTTTGACTTTGAAAGAAGCTCCATCTTTTAAGAACACCTTGAAATGTGTTGCAGGTATAATAGATCTATGAAGAAATAAACCTTGTGGATTATTGGGAATAATTGAGTGGCCTTAAATTTCTCATCCATATTTTTAAATGTAGAAAATGCTATTAATATGTTACGTTAGTCATACTCAAACAGGCAATTACTTCTTATATAAAGCTGTGAGGCTTTCTGACTAATACTTACACGTCACCTTCGTTAAAAAGGAATAATAGGAGAGCATTATCACAAAAGTAATTAAAATAGGTAACATGTTGGTATATATTAATATTGTATTAGTTTATTCATAATGTAAGCTACCTTATATGAAAACCGATCTACAGCTGATCCCCACAAAATACGACCAAGAGCGTTGAAAACAGCGGCTACTGTAACTGCCGCCGTCAAATATTGGTCGTCACTGATAAAGGTTTGACCGAACAACTGAAATCAAAGAAAGCTACCCAGTAGTTATGAGAATAAAACCAGGGTCAGTGTACAATGTAATTACTCAATTCACTGTTTTGGGAAATAGAAAACCGTATATTTTTGTCAATATCAGCATAAAGATTCAAGAGGAAACAGGTTCATTTAATACAGTTTGAAATTATTCAGAAAAGGTTCTGCTCAGACTTATAAAGTGCTTACGGTATAAAAATCGTCTTCCTCGAAAGATAATAGAGGACACTGTAAACATATTCATGAACCTGGTACACTTATCTTTTTAAACTTACGAGTGATGGTTAAACACATTATTTATAACATTAATTTTTAAAAATGCGCGGAGTTAACACATAAGTCATTTTATAGTAATCAGGTGTTACTTTCACTAAGCGAAAGGAGACTACGCGATAATAAGTCCAGTTTCAAACTAAAATATCTTGAAATTAAGATTTATGGTATTCAGAAATATTTTCCACAGCTATGTATTGTGGATCCAGAAAATCATAACTCATCAATAGCTTTAAGCAGTTAACTGACGTCAGAGTAATTAATTTGCTCTTGATTAAATATTCCCCAAATACTTGAATTCATAAATGTAAAACCTTCAAAAGATGTGCCATGTTACTTCTCTAGAGACTTATCAAGTGAAAGTGATTTCACAGACTCCTCATATCTTGAATATATCGATGTAAAACTTGCACACTGTGGCAGTATGCTATTCCGTATAAGTTTGTTAATTTCACAGAGCACATACTGAGGCAGCATTGTATACCAAATGGTGTTGCAAACAATTTATTTTTTACAGTTACATTACTATAACTCCACAGAATTGCAAACTAGTTATTCTCTTTCACTTGTCGTATTAGAATTTTCACAACATCTGAAGAGACGTTGGATCATCCGTGTCGCAAATATTTTCACTCTATGCCATAAACAAAGCCTAGATCATCAATTTCCGTCTATGACATTCCTAATTACAGCTTAGGACTGTTACAGCTTGCGATGTCAAAATATAATGTGCTATCGCTGAGCACTTTTCTAGATTTCTTAGTAGATTTGCTATGTTCGCAATTAATCTATGTGCTTCAAATCAAACTTATTGCATGGCATTATATAAAGTAAATCATTTAGTTTAATGGGCCACTCAGAGACCTTTGAACAGCATAACCTGTTTCTAAGTAAGTTAGTAGATTTGATTATCAATTTTATCCCTTCCGTATTAAAAACCCTCCATGAGAACTTCGACCGATCATTGATTAATTTAAAGGACAAATTGTTACATGTTATGTGTTTTCTACTCAACATTTGTCACTTGTTTCGCTAACCATGAAAATGTATAAGAAAAATTTTTAAAAAATTGAGTTTGCATTTACGTAGAGTTCTGAAGGTATTTAAAGTGAAAGACTTTTTGGGGAAGAATCTGTGTTTAGATGAGGGTGTAGCACTGCGAAAAGAAAACCAGACGTCAATTTGCACATCTCCTTAAGAGTAAAACCAAACAAAGTGATTTATGTCTGGAATAAATTAGATGGATGCACTTAAAAATCGTTATCTCAGGCCTTCGAAACATGAAGTCCGCAGCAAAAGTTTGTAAATTCTTAAACGGTAGTAGCAGTATTTTGAATCTGCATACCAGCTTTGCCTAATGGAATGAATATTTTTAGGGATGATTGTACAAAGGTGGTAGAGTACCAGGCTGGTATTGGCAGGCCGCTATTCCAACCCATGCCGTGACACGGATTTTCATTTCTTTTCCAATCACCCATAAAATTTTTAACTGCCTGATATATGGTCGCTATAATACAAAATTGTTTTTGGTAGAATATACAGTCTAACAGATGTTGTATTTACGTTTAAGTCGTCAGTCAACTCACTTTATAAGCAGAAGTTACGACCGTCAGCATTACACTGTTGCACAATTCAATGAACCATAGCAGGTAGAAATCAATATGTCGAAAAAGTTGGGCTGATGTAACGTCCAGTGAGCTTTAAATTGTATAACAATATATAAAATGGATTTGAAGTGCTAAATTTAAAATTAAAATAAGTTTAATTAGCACAGATTTAGATGATTAACTTAAGAAATTAATGTTAGTCACAACTGGGCTCTGATTACAACTGATTTTAGGAAACGTGAAATTTCTATATTCATATGAGTTTGAAAGAATTCAGACTTAATCGCAGGAACTGAATTCAAGTGTTTTGTGCCCACAAAAAATTCGAATTCACTTGAGCTGAAAATTCTAACATCTGTTGGAAGAAAATCAGTGGTAAGATGAAAGATAACAAATATTATAGATAAACGGCGCATCTTAAAATGAAAAATGTAAACTAGATAAATATTTCCACAAGGAATTTCTATATTCTTATTGGTAAGCAGATACGAAAAGGGAAGCTGTAGCCGACTTTCTTTTACCCAGTATACATGATATATATTTTTGTACAGATCATCATAAGCGAAGAAAATCTGTAAGCCTGGTATTTATCACAAACTTTCTGAACTGATGATTCTTCATTTCGTCTTAACAAATTATAGCTGCAAAATATGTAGTGTCCAGACAATTTTTATTCTCCACTAACTGAAACTCCAGCTAGTTGCATGAACGTTCAAGATCAAGGCAGAATACGATTAGTTTTGATATACATTAACACACTGAAACTCTAATTGTGGGTGACAATAAAAATAAACAATGGGCACTCTAAAAAAGAATCTAAAAATATAGATGATGTTATATAAAAGAAAAGAAGGCGTTCAGCGAAGAGACTCTTTTCGGCGAATTCATTCACTTAGCTGTACAATCGCATATTTATACAATTTTGTTTGTGTGTGTGTACATTAGATTTATAAAGTTTAGATAATTATGTAATATAGGTAATTTTTGGCTTGGAAACAAACGTTAAGATGGAAAATAAAATAGAATTGATTAAGTGAGTAGAATTCAGATGAGGTCAGGTTGGAAACAGTGTTAATGAGTGGTGTTTAAAATCAAGTAAGGGTGGGGTTAGAGAATAATACAGTTGAAAATAAATAAGTTAATCGGATGACGTAACTCAGTTGACTAGAAATTGGACGTGGGTCAAGTTAGTAAAATTGTTAATGAGGGTAGAGATTACAAAAGGGTGGGGTAGAGAATAATATAAGTGAAGATGTGAAATAATAAAATGCAAGAGACAAAATAATACAATTAGTAAGACTGAAATTAAGAAAGATTACGTCCACTGTAGATTTAATGAATGAACGAATTTCTTTTGTATGCAAAGTTCAGGATTTAGCAGATGATATGCCATTGCTTCTGCGATGTGGAGAAGTTTGATCCGTACACTTTTAGCAAGATTGCCTTGTATTCTGTAGACAACTTTGAAGTTTATTTCTGGTTTGACTTGGTGTCCAGAGTCGATCAAATGTTCAAGGATCGAGCTGCGGGGGCATCGGTTTTCTCCTTTATAAAACCATGAAGGTAAATGTTCGTTGACGCGTTTGGATTGCGAACGCTGAGTACGGCCGATATACCTGGCTCCACACGAGCAGGTGAATTGGTAGATGCACATAGATGAGGCCAACAGCGGTAGCTTATCCTTCACGGACATACGAATCATTGGTCTCGCGGAGAACGTCAGTCGTAATTCAGCTGCAACGAAGGTTTTCTTCAATGAGCGGGAGAGCCGATTTCTCAGTATTTCTGTAGATTGGTCTCCATTGAACTGTAGGTTCATATAGAGAAGTCTTTTTGGAGCACTGGGTGTGGACGGCTTCTCTGGTCTGGGTTTCATTGATTTTGTGATAAATCTTTCTGGATAGCCATTTTCAAGGAGGATTTTCTTAAGAGTGTTCATTTCATCTTCTATGGCGTCCAGGCTGCAAATTCTACGTATTCTGTGGCTTAGTGAACGGATTAAGTTTCGTTTAGTATATAGAGGTACCCAACTGTGGAAGTTAGTGAGCTGTCCGTTCCACGTTGGCTTTCTGTAGATGGATCTTTTTAATGTCCCGTCTTGTTGGCGTCTCGTCAGTTGAACGTCAAGAAAAGATATCTTTGAGTTAGACTCTTTCTCTAGCGTGAACTGAATCGCAGGGTGGCAGTTGTTGAAGAACTTCAGGATATCTTCTAAATTCTCTTCGTTGTTGCAGATGATGAAGGTGTCGTCGACGTATCTCTTGTAGAGTTCAAAGTTGTCAATCATATTCTTTAAACAAGTGTTTTCGAGTTTTGACATAAAGAAATCCGCAAGCAGAGGGCCTAGTGGTGAGCCCATAGCTATACCATCCTTTTGGCGATATATTTCATTGTTAAAGGAGAACTGGACGTTTAGGGTGCATCTCAGCAGAAGTTCTTTTAGATAGTCGGTGGGTATGCCGATGTTTACTCCTTCTGAGTGGATGAGCTCGCATATGTGACAGATTGTTTCAGTTAGTGGAACATTTGTAAACAATGAGACAGCATCTAGTGAGATCATCGTTTGATTAGAAACATTGACGTTTTCGACGCAGTTGACGAATTCAAATGAATCTCGCACTGAGTGACGGGAGACCTGTTTTCTGATTGGCTCAAGTAGGTCTGCTAGCCATTGGGCAGTGCGGTGGTAAGGTGAATTAGTCATGTCGAGGATCGGTCAAAGTGGAGTGCCCATCTTGTGTACTTTAGGAAGTCCGTAGAGTCTTGGTATATTTGAACCAGATGGTTTCAGGGATTCAAACGTTTCGTTGGTAATGAAGGATTTGTTCTTCAGTTTAGGGAGGATGTCTGTTAGTTTTTGTTCACTCTGCTCCGTCATTCTCTAACCCCACCCTTACTTGATTTTAAACACCACTCATTAACACTGTTTCCAACCTGACCTCATCTGAATTCTACTCACTTAATCAATTCTATTTTATTTTCCATCTTAACGTTTGTTTCCAAGCCAAAAATTACCTATATTACATAATTATCTAAACTTTATAAATCTAATGTACACACACACAAACAAAATTGTATAAATATGCGATTGTACAGCTAAGTGAA